GCTCAGCTTCCGCAACTCCTCTAACCCGCCCTCGGCCAAAACCTCCACCCCCGTCTCCGGTCATGCCTCGCAGACATCAGGGAAGTCGGCACAAGTGCTGCCTGCCTCCTCCGGCCTCCAGCAGGAGGCTCTGGCAGCGTGGAGAGGCATCCAAACATCGTCACAGACCTTCAAACCATTTGAGAAAAACCCCAGCAAGCAGGCACGCTACGAACTCTACCTGAGCCGTCTCAAGCAGGGAGACAATGGTACGAGGCTCCGCCCTGCAGGTCTCATCATGCACTGCAGGATCCTTTGATATAGTTGGTACAGTTTTAGTTAAACCACAAAAACCATCATTAACCCTCTGGGGTCGACGAATGCGTCAAAATCACATGACCAATTTAAGATGTCACAGCTACAAGATGCAGCGACTCTGAGTCGCCATTTCAACTTGGGTCGAAAGGTATATCAAACTATATACCAGTTTTTGAATTGTGTCGGTGGGCCACGTAAAACCAGAGTTATGATAAAAAATACACGCGATGTTTTTTTCTGAACAAAACAGCGGCGTTTACAGCAGGAAGAACGGTAAAAACGGCGTTTTCTACAGACAGAGCTCGCAAACACTCTCCGCTTACGAGTGAAGAAAGAAAAAACACTCCTTCCCTATTTGATGTTAGTTTACCATGTCAGCCAATCAAAAAAATGATATGGTAACATGGGGCACTTGGTTGCTTAGGGAGAAGGGGAAGATTTAGGAGTGACACCTGTGAGAGAGAGCGAGTTTTCATATGTGAGACATTAGTGACGTTTAGCGTGTTTGGAGGCTGTAGTTAGTGTGTTGTGTAGTTATTGTTTTGTATTGTGTGTCAGTCATACTGCTGAATGTCACATTTGCTTCAAAAACGCCACCAAAGGCAGATTCCAGTGTAAACGCTGTTCCCACATGGAAAACAGGACTGATGCTCCTCCTGCTGTCAGACCTGCAGGTTTAGGCCGGTGCTGTTCTCCTCTGTCTTATACTGAACACAAACTATTTTTTTGGACCGGCACAAATAATTTGTGTCTTCTTATTCGATGCAGCACAGCTGATTGTTCTGTAAATAGATTTAAATGGTTATATAAACGCCCGAGGCCTTGGCTGCATTTTTAGGTGAATAGTACCATATAACTTTGTTGTTTGCAAAACTTGTGCATAATTTTTTAGAAATGTACAATTTCTATTTGCATTTCAAGTTATGAAAATGATTCGTTAAACATGTTTGTGGGTTTTACAGTAAAAAATAACTTTTTTCTACTCGGATTTTGAATTTTTTGCCTGAATTTAGATCATTTGTTCTAATATAGTTTGCCAAAATGAAAAAATAACTCAAATTTCAGATATTTGAGGTTGTGCTGAAAATAATGATACCAAACAAGGCAAGATAAACAGTTTTTAACGGTGAAATATAGAAGTAAAATCAAAAGTAGTCAAAAATGGCCAATTATACCCTGGACCCCAGAGGGTTAATGCTCCTACGTGTCTGAGCACGTGCGTATATGTGATTACTGGCTAACACAGACGCTGGATTAAAGCTCCCACATTAGAGACCGCCTGGATATTAAAATGTAAAAATCTTCTGTGTGTCCCTCAGACGCTCTGGAGCAGAGTCTAGACCCGGGAATGACAGAGTGGGAGCGCAGCCGGGAGAGGGAGGAGTTTGTCCGAGCTTCTATCTTGTACCGGCCCACCTCCTCCTCGCTGTCCTCCCGCTTCACCAGAGCCAAAGACCAGGAGGACGATGACAGCGTGGAGGTCAGCCAGGACCAAGAGGTAGGACGCCACCTGGTGCTGTAAAAACCACACCCCTACACTGCAGGTAAGCTCAGGAGTCACTGATGCTTTCTTTTGGTTGTCAGGGAGACCTGGATGACAAACAGTCTGCAGTAAAGATGAAGATGTTTGGAAAACTGACCAGAGAAACGTTCGAGTGGTATCCTGACAAACTGCTCTGCAAAAGATTCAACGTGCCCGACCCCTACCCCGGGTACGGCACACAGATCTGAATCGGCTCTAAACAGAACGTCGAGGTTAAATCCAAACTCTGCTGAGCTAAAGTCTCACTGTGATTGGTCCTGCAGGTCCGGCATTGTGGGTCTGCCCAAAGTGAAGAGAGACAAGTTTTCAGTCTTCAATTTCCTGACTGTGACTGAGAGCAGAGAGGCTGCAGGTAACTTCATTCACACACAGGAGGCGCTAAAGAGTTTTAACAGGCAAGCAGTAGAATATTCTGTAAGAGAACTTTAAGCCCTTTTCTTGTTTCTTTAACTTAAAAGCTTGTTTGAATCCATGTTGTCTTTACTGCCACCCACAGCACCCACCTGTAACAATGCTCGGTATTATTTTAAACATAAAAGATGTTCCCAGGTGTGCTGAGAGGGAAGATCAGACCTTCAGTATCAACTTTTGCCTGCTTGGCTTGTTTCTGTCGGCCACACGAGCAGCTGTCAGTGCACGAAGCAGTTAAGCAGAGTTAGCTTTGACAGCGAGACGTGAGCGAGCTCCCAAGCTCCATTTACACATCGATGAGCCAAAGCGAGTAAATGTTTCTGACTGCAGCAGCTTTATCACATCCTGCCCTGTCACAGTCACACTAAACCTCAGTAAAGTAGACAGATTTTTTTTTTCAGCACAAATGAAAGTTAAATGTGTTTTTAAAACTCAAGTAGATGAAAACTGATCCGAACTCATTTTTATCAAAGAATATCTCAGTGTGACTGAAGAGTTATGTAAGAATTTATTTCAATGTTTTAAGGGTTAAATCTGCTGTTCCTCAGACTGAGGTTTGTTGACCAATCAGGATTTATTTAGGATAAAAAAGTGAAGACAGGAAAACTGAAGTGATTGCTTTTATTAAATACTTTCTTTCCGTTTAGTTTTTCCTCTGTGAATTTAAGTTTCTTTGTAGCCTTAACACAAATTTGATGTTTTCTTAGTTTCCGTTTAACACCACAGTGCTTGTGCTCACAGATTAAGCTCATTGTTTCTCTTCAGCACCTCCAAAACCTCCAGAATCCGGGAAGAAGTCCAGGTGGGATGTCTCTGAGCAGAAGGTGGAGAAGAAGAAGGAGGACCCGCTGGGTGAGCTTCTCAGTGCTGCACGCAACCAGACCGAGACCAAAGTGGAGCACACCCCCACGCCTGCTTTACCTGCCTCAATCAGCAGCAGCGATCAGGCTCCAGGAAGCAAACCGGAGGTAGTGAAAGAGCAAAGTGTCCAAACCAGCAGGCGAGGAAGTCCTTAAATCTAAAGAGTTTATCCTTCCTTCTACAGATAAAGTCATCAGAGCAGCAGAGCTCAGAGCAGAAGAAAGAAGGTGAAGAAGAAGAGGAGGAGGAGGAAGAGGAGAGCAGGCCTCCCATGGATCTGTTTAAGGCCATCTTTGCCAGCTCCTCTGATGAGAAGTCCTCCTCTTCATCAGAGGGGGAGAGCAGCGATGAGGAGGAAGAAAAGGTGACAAAGGAGGATGAAGGAAAAGTGGACTCGGAGCCACTGAACCTCTTCAGCATCCCCTCCTCCTCCTCAGCCACCGCCTCCTCCTCAGCCACCGCCTCCTCCTCAGCCACCGCCACCGCCTCCTCCTCAGCCACCGCCTCCTCCAGTCACCAAGCAGGTACTCTGAGTTTGCTGAATCACCTTAACCTTTCCTCTAATCTCACGTCCCTGGCGAGCGTAACTCTGTTAACTCTTTTGCTCTCTGCTCCTTCAAAACCAGCAGTTTCCACTCAGGCCTCCGAACAGGAAGAGGAGGAGTTTGGGCCGAAGCTGCCGCCTCCCTCGGCTGCTCTGAGTGAGTGTCACCCACCAGATCAACAACAGACAATTCAAGTTTATTCACCGTGACCCAGTCACGTGGTTTCCCTTGCGTGGACATTGTTTTTATAGATACATCAATCTCTCTGTGATCAGCTCCGCTGGGTTACATTCGTGTGAATCGATCCACATTCAGTGTGTAGAACTAGAGCGTCTGTTCATCGACGCTTTCACTGCTTCTCTTCTGCTTCTACTTCATTAAGTGCATCCTGCTTTGTAAAAGCGTTGCTGGAGGATTAATAACCTCTGCCTGTTGTTCCTGTGTTTAGTCAGAGGGGGCGCCGCCTCCATGTGCCCTCCAATCAAGGAGGTTAAAACGGGCAAGAAGAGCAAAGAGAAGAAACACAAGAAAAAGAAGCATTACAAACACAAGAAGGAAAAGAAGGTAGAAAACGAAGAATAAGGATCAGATCAGATAAAATGGCTCCTTCCTCACGCTGAAGCTGTGACTTCTTTTTTCTTTACAGAAGAAGAAACACAAGAAGCACAAGCACAAAGAAGCAGCCGAAGAAGAGCAAGGAGGAGGAGCCGGCGAGCAGGAAGGTGAAGACGGACAGGTGTCGACAGACGAGCTGCTAAAAAGGTCAGAGGTCACCTGTCAGAGCATCGAAAGATGACCCTGATGGAGTGGGAGACACTTGGAAATTAGTTTGTTATAGTGCTGATGTAAGTCGGAAGCTGTGTATGCAAAACAATCATTATTAACAATATTTAGAGTTTTTCTCTTTTTTTTTGTTTCCACCAAAATGTTTTAAATCTGTAATCCATCGCTCACCGACAGAAACGCACTGCGTTCAATTAAGAACATAGTTTGTTTTCATCTGCTCTTCTGATTCTGATATCATTTTTATCTATCAGATCTCTTAGAGGGGTAATAAATCAGTGTCTGTGTTGTGTTTATGTTTAGTAAACAGATGCTTTTATTTTTAAACACTGAATCTAGTGTCGTATGCAAAGCACCTCGAACCGTCTTCTTCACTGTCTGTGTGTTTGTTTTCTCTTCCAGACTAAAGAGCGTCCGCTCCCATCAGATGTGGTGAATCAGTTGGAGGTCTGTCCTCTGTGAGGACCGTCAGTCAGCTGAATGTTTCACCTGACAGATTACCTGCTGTGTAGTTTTAGGTAATAACATAAAATCTTTATAACCAAGTGTTCTGTATTTACTGACCTGCTGGGAAACCTTCAATCACACGAAAAACTGACGTTTTGTGTTTAAGTGAAGAACTCTCTCTTAAAGGAGGTGAACATGTCACTGTCACAGTCTGCAATCGATGAATGGAAACAAACGATGAAACGTTAGGTTACACTCGAGACCAAAAAGGCCACATTGGACAGAAAAGACGTGTAACCACGATTACTATGGAGACGGACAGGAACAGCTGATTTGGGTTGCTGTGGTAACATTCCTGCTGCCCCGTATAGATTCCTTCGTTACCAGTTACATTGTAAGAAGTTTATTGATATTGACACAAAGAGAAAACTGTGAACTTTTAGAACTTTTGCTACATATTCTGATGATTTCAGAGACTTCTGTGTGCGACGTCGTTTAAGCTTGACATTGATATAATATTACAAACATTCATCCAAGATTACAGATTGGTAAGAAATGTGTTACAAATGGAAGTATGTGTCACAATTACTGGATTCCACGTTTCACCACATCTCAGACAGAAGCAGTTATATTTTTTTCATCTTTATTTAATCAGAAGGAAAAATATCCTCATTTCCAAGAGAGACCCGGAGGAAGAAGCAGCACAAACAAGCTCTTTGTTAGCTTGTTTGTGACTTTGAGCTACACAGTCGACAGGTGAAAGTAAACATGGACAAAAACAGTAATAAGACTTTCATTATTGTATAAATCTTTGATCAGGATCAATAATCAGGATTTATTCATTTCAAATTATACTGTAAATCTATAGATTTAAAAAACAAACTCTTTCCCATTTTAGCTTATGCACCCAAAGCTGTGTACTATTCTAATAATAACTGATAGAAAATAATTGATTTTCATCAGTTAATTCACACATGAGACGATACATGAACACTCAGACTGCAGGCTGATCTAAATAATTTCATCTCATCCAGTGGAGCACACGAAGGGTTTTAACTTTCAGTTGAGGACAAAGCTTGGTATCTGACCATCGATGTTTCGGCCCTGAACGTGAGCACGCCACAGATCATAGCGACGGCAGCAAGAAGACATCCAGCTATGAAGACCAGGTTCAGGTTCATGGCGTTCCCTGGAAACAAGAGAAGATCAGTTTAATTCAGCGTTATCCAAAGTTACAGTGACTAAAACAAAGCAGCCGACTCTGTTTCCACACCCACACCTGCTGATGTCTGCTGACCTCTTCAAGCACAGGGGACCCTGGGAAATTAAGTGCTGTGCAGTCTGCATGACAGCCCCTCTCTTTCAGCAGTGGGAGTGGTGGTGAGCGTCTGACGTGGAGTTGATGCATCCCTGTGCGCACCTGGTGTTGGGGTTTCCCGCTTCACATACCATCACTGAACAGCTGATGTAAACCTGAATGCAAGTGAAACTTTTGGCTGTGCGTGTCACTCAACCTCAAATCTCTCAGTATCCAAGTGCTGCACGTGCATTAAAACATTCTGATGGAAAAACTGAATTTACGTTAAGTGGACATCACAGATTTAAATGGAGATTATTTATTTAGCTTCCCTGTCTACAAGCTGCTGATGGAGATCTGCCCGGCCCGGGAGCCAGCCTCCTCTGAGGCCTTCCCCAAACCGCAGCCTCAGTTCATGCTTAAGACAAAACTCGAAATGCTGTCAAACCTAATGTGAGGATGTATTCCCAGCCAATGAAATAACTATTTTAAGCATTAAATTATGAGCATAATAGCTGCCCTCTCAGTCTGTTGCTGGTATTATCTGTAAAACAACAAATACAATCTTGATCTTAAGAACAATTTTGGCTGAAACCCATTAGGTAATCATCATGAAAGTTTCACTGAAACATACTGAAGGAGGATTCTAGTGACTGATAGCAAACATCATCTGCCCTTTGGCCACATGAGCAAACAACAAATGACAAACTATAGCATATAAACAAAAGCAGGCCTTTTTCCTGCAAAACCACCCCCTATGATGGACACATTTTCAATGTTTTCTTCACATAATACACTTTTTTTAAAATTAGGTAACTTTTAGCAAATTTCAAGCAATGTGTGCACGAGATGTGTGAGTATGCAATAAAGTTAATCAGATTAAAAAGATACGGCTTGAGTTTTGGGTGTAGAATTCATCAGAATCAGAACCCCCCTTTTTTGGCCAAGTATATGCGCAAACACATACAAGGAATTTGGTTCCAGTCGATGGTGCTGCTCAAGCACAACAATGTGAAACGTATTTAGAGGTCTGGTCTAAACTCATTCTTTACCTGATCGTGTAAACCAATGAACTTGAAGGCCTCGACGCAGAACCTAAACTGTCTCTTGTTGTCTGGTGCATGGGTCATAATAGTGGAGTGCAAAGAAAGAGACTACAACTTACAATTTCATCATAAATCCTTGCTTAACCATCATACAGTGCCATTCACAAATATTCAAGTGATAGCCTGATGCCTTAAAAACCTTTAAAGAGCCTTGTTCTATGGACAAAAATCTCAGTGTTGTTGACTGTAGAGGAGGCATCTATCTCCATGTAAACCTTCTCTCCTACGTTATACTGCAGAGGGTATGAATTTGTGTGTGTTGACACAAATGAGCCCTCGTTACCTCAATTTGAGTGCCGCAAGCACTGAGGGGGATGATGCCGATGACGTGAGTGCTGTTGGAGTATCTCTCCAGGCTGCAGAGGGTGTTGCTGGGTTCACTGAGACGCAGGTGATCCTCGTGGAGTCCACGGAAGGACGATTTGTCAATCTCAACTCTCATTGTGGACTCAGTGCAGATCACATTGGTTTTAACCGAAACAAGTCAATAACACGTCAAAATAAAAACACTCACATTACAACTATTTCAAGTAAGCAAGTAAAGTAACTGAGTAAAAGTTTATTTATATAGCAGTTTTCACAGATATATGTTACAAAGTGCTTCACAAGAGAGGTATTACTCAAACCACTCTGCAGTACTGCCAGTATGTTAAAACTTCAGGTGTTAAATAATAAATGTTGACATCAGAGCAGCCTTTAGACTCACTTTCCTCCTTCCTGACATCCAGGATAGCACACCTCATCTCAGACTGATAGACTCCAGACCTGAGAAAAAAACATTAATGAACAATGACTTAACAACTTTACTATGGAGAGGATTTATAATTACCATCATTCACGTAGGCAGATTAGACTTGGGTCTGGTTACTTTCCAGTAAACGGATACACCGGATGTTTTATGTGTTTACCTGAATTAAGTTCAGTGTTGGTAGCTTTGTCATTATTTGTTTCAGATCCTTCTTTATTTTCATTTTTCAGGCAGGAGATGGTTTATTTTCTTAACACCTAACATAATGATGAGTCATTACATCGTCTACCGGTCACGGCAGATGGCCCCGCCCCTCCCCCAGCCTGGTTCTGCCGGTTTCTTCCTGTTAAAAGGTTTTTGTTTTTTTTTCATTCCCACTGTCACCAAGTGCTAGCTCATAGAGGTTTATCTGCTTGTGGGGGTTTTCTCTGTAATATTGTAGGGTCTTCACCTTACAATATAAAGCAGCTTGAGGTGACTGTTGCTGTGATTTATTGCTATATAAATAAAACTGAATTGAACTGAACTTACTGTGAGGTTGGGTTGGCATGTGAGTGGGAATGTGTAACGCTTGGAAAGCTGGTACACCCAGCCTGCAAGGCAGGGAATGAGTCAGTTGATAGTTTTTGGTCCCCATACTAACTCCATCATTAAAGGAATGAATGAAAGGCTAACCCTGTCACGGACTCCACAGCAAAGCAGACTGGAAAATGATCTCCCAGGTGACTCTTTAATGGCATCCACCGAAGGACAAACTCATCATGTGTGGTCCTGTGTTTGGTCATATTGGCCCGCTGATGATGATATCTTGTATTCTGTATGAAGGCAAAACAACCTCTGCATCACAGGTTTGATCTTGCATGCGCAAATGTTGACAACGTTTTGCTGGTGAAATTTGGTCTCACTTACACTGAATGTGGACAGAATAGGCGTCTGTAGATCAAAACAAAGCATATATGGAATAGAGCTGCTGAGTTTTGGGTTGCAAAAGAATCCACTTAAGAAAATATTTGCAGCGTTCATTTAAGTTCTTAAGACAAACTAAAGTATTAAGTGTTGCTTTTCGAGACAGTTGTATGACTACTTGTATGATCTATGACGGGCAATCGTGGCTCTAGAGTTGGCAGTTCGCCTTGTAATCGGAAGGTTGCCGGTTCGAGCCCCGGCCGTTGTGTCCTTGGTCAAGACACTTCTCCCCTTGCCTACTGGTGGTGGTGGTCAGAGGGCACCAGTGTCCAGCAGCCTCGCCTCTGTCAGTGCGCCCCAGGGTGGCTGTGGCTACATGTAGCTGCCATCACGAATGGGTGGATGACTGGATGCTTTACACTATAAAGCGCTATACAAATACAGGCCATTTACCTGTAGGAGCCATATGAGTTGTTCCTTTTTGACTAAGTGGGTTGGTTTAAATGGACTCACTGTATTGGTGCACGGGTGTGGGGCGTGTCTCATGGGTGTGGTAGATGATAAATGTGGTTGCACTCATCTGTTCACGGCACCTGATGTTGATGAGCAGAAAGGTAGGGTGAGCATGAGGCAAATCTTTCTGTTGAGCGCAGCTTGAGCGCAGCTTGAGCGCGTGGAATAAAAGGAGCAAATGGTACAGAAGTGTATTTTATGCGTTTATTGTTGCACGTCATCTGTGTCCTCATGTTTAGCCTGCCGCGGCCATTGGTTGGAGGAGCCGCAACAAATTGTCAACAGAAAAGTTTGTAGGTTTTATTGGATTATTTATATATAGATGAGTTTTATTGATGAGAGTTTTATAGTTTGCTGTGGCCTTTGTCCATGCAGCTTTAAGATGAAGCCTTTGGCTACATAAAACAGATTTCTTTCAGGAGTCATATTCCCCTGTTAGGTTTCAGCAGTACAGCTGCACTAGGCGTTGTACTGATTTGCTTTCTAGTTATTGTGCATCAGGCGGCTGAAGCCATTGGCTTGGGAGTACCGGTATGGAGGTACATAAATACCCACCGCTAGTATGTACGGAAGACTAGGTTGAGTTAGTTAGGTTTAATAGGCAGATAGTGGGGGATATTGTGTGTGTCCAAGGTTTATTGAAGGGAATGTCATCAAGTTGATGTGTTGGAATGAAGCTATGTGGCATAGATGCAGTTCAGCGTTTGGATTTTGTAATGTTTTGAAGAAAAATGGAAACACACCAATTAATACAATGTGGTGATGTGGATGGAAAGAAAAGACAGCCGAAACCGACTACTAAGGCTTTGGAGAATCAGATTGAAAGGCTTCAGACAGAACGTCACACTAAGATTAATAAAATTAAAAAGGTCATAAAGGTTATTAAAGAATTAAAGCAATCTGAAGATGTTTCTACTGTTCAGGCTCAGTTAGAGAATTTGTCTGTGTTGCTTAATGAGGCAACTCATCTGCATGAAACCTTGCTCCCTTTGCTTGCTCAAGAGCAAGAAAAACAAACTGCTTGGTTTATAAGTGTGCGAGCACATAATACTGAGTTTATGGAAGAGATAAAGAAATGGCTTCATGATGCAAAGGGAAACCCTCAGAGTAAAAATCTGGTGTCTGAGCTTGAGTTGCCACATTTAAATCCACCTGTTGTTGAGTCTTCTGATGTATTACCTACTGGAAAGGGTTCTGGTGCTTCTAGGCACGCCGGGAATGTTGGTAAAGGTGCTGCGATAGATGATGTTAATCCAAGTGATAGCATCTCTAATGTTGGAAACAAAAGTTGTAGGAAAAGTAAATCATCACTCAGTGGCTCAATGGTTTCATCTGCCTTGTCAGCACGCATAACGGCAGAGGCTGACATGGCTGCCCTTCTTGTTCGACAGAGGTTGTTGAAAGAAAAGCATGCTTTGGAAGAACAAGAAATACAGCTTAAGAAAAGAAAGGAGCTGCTTGACTTAGAAACTGAAATAGCAGCCTCAGCAGCAAAGGTGAATGTTTTAAAAGCTTCTGAAATGTCCCGAGTCTCAAGTGCTGTTAATGTTAAATCTGATGGAATGAATTCGTATTTAGAACGAGAGCAGGGGCGTTTAGGCGTTTTAAATCCTAATGCTCCGACGTTCAAACCTGTGTTACCAGAGCGACCATATCAGGGTGTTGATGCAAGTGATCATCAAGCGCATGTATTGGATGTAAGGCCCAAGGTTAAAAACAGTCAGAGACGAAGTTATATCAAGTATTTCCAGGTGCAGTTTCAACTACTCAGATGATGTCGCAGTCTCACGCACAATCAAAACCTCTCACACATACAGTGCAAGGTGGTGAGGGTCATGATCATCTAGTCACAGTTTTGAAGAAACAAAATGAAATTACAACTTTATTGGCTGAGCAGCAGTCTCTGTTTTTGTTACCAAGGCGTGACATTCAGTTATTTGATGGTGATCCTTTGCAATATCAAACATTTATGAGAGCTTTTGAGCACATGGTGGAGAGTCAAGCTCACAGTGCTAAGGATTGTTTATATTTTCTCGAGCAATACACTAGAGGCCATCCAAGAGAAATGGTCAGAAGCTGTCAGTATATGCCTGCTGAGTATGGATATGCTAAAGCTAAATCTTTGCTCCAAGAGAACTTTGGCAATTCGCTGAAAATTGCTGCTGCCTACATTGAAAGGGTCAGTAAATGGCCACCTATAAAATCTGATGATGTGAAGGCTTTGCAGGAATATGGGTTTTTATTAAGGCAATGTTGCAATGCAATGGGAGACGTGGAGTCCTTGCATGAGTTGGATGTCTCTGCTAATATGCAAGCAGTTATAAAAAAGTTGCCTTATAGGCTCAGGGATAAGTGGAGGAATGTTGTGTACGATCTGCAGGAGAGGTTTCAACGTAAAGTGTTTTTTAGCAATGTTGTTGAGTTTGTCGAAAGGCAAGTTAAGATCGCAAGTGACCCATTGTTTGGAGATATACAGGATCCCCCGACAGCCATCAGAAAAGAGGCGAGGAATAATAAGTCTCAGTTTTACCCTAAGGCTAAGCGGAGTAGTTTTGCTACTACAGTGGCCAAGGTGGAAGGGAAGATTGAGCCAGTGTTGAGGCAAGAGAGTGGTTCAGGTGTGACCAAGGTTTGCTTGTTTTGTGGAGCAGGGCATATGTTGGATTTGTGTCCTTCATTTGAAAGAAAGTTGCGCTGTGAAAGATTATCTTTTTTGAAAGAGAATGGTGTGTGTTTTGGTTGTCTGCGCATTGGGCACAGAAGCAGGGACTGTAGGAAACGTCTCTTGTGTAAAGTTTGTAATCAGAAACACCCCACGCTCTTACATATCCACTCCAAGCAGAGGGAAAGTGTTTCAGTGCAAACTATAGGAGGGGGAGAACCACCAGATGAAGGTCCTTCATGTGCTGTGCAAAGCAGTGGTGTTACTGGGGCCGGTGAGCAAAATAGTGCTTTATCCGTAATATCAGTTAGAGTGAAGTCCAAGAAAGGTAATCAGTCACTGATAACCTATGCTTTCCTAGATCCTGGGAGCTCAGCTTCATTTTGTACTGAAGGGCTCATGAATAGGCTGAATCTTTCAGGAAGGAAAACTGGCATTCTGTTGCGGACAATGGGTCAGGAGAAAATGGTCAGTAGTTATGTTGTTGTTTGATTTGGAAGTAGCTGGTTTGGATTTGGATCACTACTGTGACTTGCCTGACTTATTTACTCAGAAAAGCATGCCTGTTCATCAATGTAATATTCCCCGACAGGAAGATCTCGATAGATGGCCACATTTGCGCTATATTAAGATACTGGAGATAAATTCCGGGGTAGACCTGTTGATCGGGACCAATGTGCCCAAGGCTTTAGAGCCATGGGAGGTTGTTAGAAGTCAGGATGGAGGCCCCAAGCAGTAAAAACTATGCTGGGTTGGACGGTGAATGGTCCTCTCAGAGAGGATTGTAAGACTGACATTTTTGATGTGAGTGTCAATAGGATTTCCGTGGCAAGGTTGGATGAGCTGTGGGAACGTCAAATGAAGGCTGATTTTCCAGAATGTATTCAGGATGAGCAGTTTGCTTTGTCTAGAGAAGATCAGCAGTTTATGAAGTCAGTGATGGATTCTGTTAAGTTGGTTGATGGTCATTACACCATTGGTTTACCTTTTAGGTGCAATCAGGTAAACATGCCAAATAATAGGAAGGCTGTAGAACAGCGAGCTATGAGCCTTAAACGGAAGTTTGTCAAGGATGATTCCTGGTTGTCAGGGCCAAAGTTTCTTGCTGAACCAGAAATTAATTGGCCAGTGAACCTTGATTTTGGAAAGATCTCTTAATGATCCAGAGATTAAAATGGCCAATTTAGTTCATGCTGTTGATGCAAATGAATACAAGAGTGCATCAATCAGGGACATCAAGAAGGCCTACAGAAAGCTGGCTTTGCAGTTACACCCCGACAGAAACCAAGACGACCCGCAAGCCCTGGACAAGTTCGCAGACTTGGGGGCAGCCTATGAGGTCCTCTCAGATAAGGAGAAAAGGAAACAGTATGACATGTATGGAGAGTACAGGCTCAAAGAGGGTCACCACAGCTCTCACAGCGATATCTTCTCCAGTTTCTTTGGTGATTTTGGGTTCATGTTTGGTGGCAACCGACAGCAACAGGACAGGAATATTCCCAGAGGAAATGACATAATACTGGACCAGGAGGTTACACTGGAAGAAGTGTGCTCTGTGAACTTTGTGGGTGGCGAACGTGAGTTGAAAGAGGCAGTGGAAGGATGGAATCAGGCACAGATTCATGAGATGCTGCTGCAAAAGGGCATAAAGTGGATTTTTAATCCTCCTGCTGGTTCCCATCATGGCGGTGTTTGGGAACGTCTCATAAGGTCTGTCAGGAAGGTGTTAAATTCCATTTTGAAAGTGCAGAATTTGGACGAAGAAGGCCTTTGTACAGTTCTTTGTGAGGCAGAGGCTATTGTGAACAGTAGACCAATAACCAAAGCCTCTACTGATCCTAATGATTTGGAGGCCTTGACTCCTAACCATCTGTTGCTGCTTAAGACCAAGCCATTGATACCACCAGGAGTGTTTCAGAAGGGGGACGTGTATGGACGACGTCGATGGAGGCAAGTACAGTACATGTCTGACCTGTTCTGGAAGCGCTGGGTCAAGGAGTACCTGCCCCAGCTTCAAGAGCGTCAGAAGTGGCAGAGAATCGGACGGAACTTCATTCCTGGGGATGTGGTTATCGTTGTCGATGATTCTGCGCCTCGTAACTCTTGGGTGACTGGAACGATTGTGGAAGCAATTTCTGACGGTAAAGGACTTGTACGTCAGGTTCGTGTTAAAACAAAGACTGGTTGTTTGGACAGGCCGATGACTAAAGTGTGTCTTCTACAGGAAGCAGAAGAGTCATGAAAATTGACTTTTTCAAATGTCTCTTTGTATTAATGTGTATTTGTTTATTTTGAATTGAAATTGTATTTTTGAATGATCATGTTTCTCAATATGTCTCCTACATGATAAGTATGATGTAATTATTGCTCTAAAATAATTAGGGGCCGGTATGTAGGAGCCATATGAGTTGTTCCTTTTTGACTAAGTGGGTTGGTTTAAATGGACTCACTGTATTGGTGCACGGGTGTGGGGCGTGTCTCATGGGTGTGGTAGATGATAAATGTGGTTGCACTCACCTGTTCACGGCACCTGATGTTGATGAGCAGAAAGGTAGGGTGAGCATGAGGCAAATCTTTCTGTTGACCGCAGCTTGAGCGCAGCTTGAATGATTTGGATGTATTTTGACTGGAACTTGATGGTTTATGTATATTTATGTATAACTGCAATGGTAGTTTACTGAGGGGAGGACTGGTGGCTCGCAGCTGTTGACTTGCATTGGTCCAGGACCATGAGGTTGTTTGATTTGTGTTGATGAAGGCCTGCCTCCTTCTCCTCAGTCACTTTTTACGAGACCATGAGTGTGTTTCATTTTTTGTTCTGTCAGTCTTGGATGTGACTCACCATGATTCTGGTTCTCCTTTCACAGTCAGTACTGCTGGTTTCTCTCTCAGACTGACTGAAGATGAGTGATCTGGAGTCTCCAGGATCCAGCCGTCTGTCTGTGACCGACACAAAGTAAGATACTGTCTCTAATGTACACGAAGGAAATGGAGAACATAGGTAAACTCAGTATATAGAAACAATTACAAGTTTAAAAGGACAAGTAAGATTGAGTGGGAGAGGACTGGTTTAACAGGAAGAAGAGAAAATTCCACAGTATCCGTGCAAAACGTTTCACTTTGAAATCTTTAAAAGAATGTGGACAAACAGGTGGACTTGGTGTCAGTGGAGTTTACTACTGGAAGTTTGAGATTGTGATGATTATTACTTCAAAAACACCTGTACAGACGTTTACCAGACATTCCATACCAGTGGAGTGCCCAGTAACACTTTGAGGTGACTGGAGCTTTATATATAAAATGAATACAGTCCGATCAGTTTATGAGAATAGACAAAGTGACTTTGGTAATATCAGTTGCCAATTTTTAGTTGGTATTGGTTTGTAAGATTAGTTTAAAATAAAGACTTCATTTTAACTGAATTTTGTTACGTCTCAAGAATTTGGACTTTTAGCCTTAAGGACAAACCTAAGGAGGAGGTTGGACTTTAGAGTTGAGCCCAGAGATGTACGGCTGATTGAGGGGCTACTTTTTGTCATCAAACTAAAAAGAAATAAAATGTAGGCTTAGAAGATACGGTTGGTTGTTTGGTTCAGCATCTCTGAATATCTTCAGAGCTGTAGAGGCTTCAGAATGTAGAAGTTTGGATGGAAACTCCAAATACTTGAAGCCCACAAGATGCATCTTTAAAAAGTCAAAAAGAAGCGAAAAATTGCTCTCGCTAAAACCAAAATAACATTTATAACAACAACAACAAAAGTGTATGATTTGGTAATATGATTGGAATGGAACAAATGGATTCTGAAAATCAGAGATTGAGTTTCCAAGTGAATAATGCAGCTGAAAAACTTTCCTGTTATATGAAGACTTTTAACCTATAGTTCAGTATTGATCTGCCACAGTCAGCGAACAAAACTGCCAAAAAGGAAAAAGACATTAAGATCCTCAAAAGCTTGGCATAATATAGTCATACATTTTCACCTGAATACATCTGCCCTGTGCAAATCCGTTTCAAAGGCCTTTGCAGCTAATAATGGTCAATATTTTTAATTTAAAGAATACAGAAAAACAGCTGGTTCTTTTTCAGGGTTTCATAGCTTTTTAGTGTAGAATACCAAGCTTTAATATTATAGAGATTTGCAAGTATCTACAAAGCATGATATGATGTGAAGTTCAACATCTGGGACATGTGTCCCGCTATGCATTTCAGAAAATGACTCAATCTCTTAGTATAGCAAACAAACAATGCAGGAGGGCAGAAAAATAATGGTCTCCTCTGCCGTGGCATCAGAAGTTGAGAATTGACGGGACAAAGTGTTGGGTTTCTCGTTTTGGGTTGCCGGGTCTATAGATCATAACACAGTTGAACCAAGCAAAGGAGAGGGCCCACCTGGCTTGTCTTGAGTGGCTGCTGTGAGATATGCAAGATGCTTGTGGTCAGTCAAACGATGAACAATGAGCAGGTGTTGTGCTCCCTCCCGCCAGCTAGCAGTTCCACTTCTCCCACGTTATAGTTTTGATCAGTTCAAGAAAGACAGCAGAAGGAAAAAAGCTGCATTTTCCCTTCCTTGTTCTGGAACAAGATGAACTCCATCAACGATAAATTGTTGGGTGGTCACACACAGCTGACTGCAGCTTTCCAGTCTTATAAACAGTACATTTGCACAATGACTGAAACCAGCCCACTGGCTGTGACATCATTTCATTGATCATTAATATTCAAATCGTCATGACCATTGATCAACAATCATTGATCAAAGACCATTGATCATGGAATAATCTTCCACACTGCACCTAACGTGACAAACTGAAAGCAGTCATTGGGTGGGAAACCTTGAGAAAAACACTTTTGACCTTAGAGAAGAGCTCTGCATAGAAAAGGATCAGGTTTGAACTTAGTTTGTGCAGCTGTACCTTTAACTAAGGCAAGTTCCTGCATCAACTTGTCCTGTTGTCTTTTTGAACTGTGCTTCACTATTCACTACAGATGAATGCACTGTAAACACCTGCGTGTGAGTCACTTTGGTCACTTTGACAGTTGTACTGGTAATAATCATTTTCCCTTTGTGTCCTCAGAGAGAACAGTGATGTTGGTGTGGAGGAGGAGGAGCAGTTGTCCTGCTGTGCTTTGGGTCAAGATGTCTCAGAGGATTCAGTCGCTACCAGTTGTGGCATCTCTGTCCAAAGTAAGAGTCGGTATCGGTGTGCTGATGAACACATTTTTGAAAACTTGACTTCTTGTTTTGTAGGTGCATGAAAAAGATTTCATTAGATTTTTTATGGTATAGGTTTTTTTCCTGTTTTACTTTGAATGTTGTTTCCTTTCATGTCTCATGTTAGTTTTACTTCCTGTCTTAATTATTTTTCACCTGGTTTGCTAAAGTTCAGCTGTCATGTTCCCCACCTGCTCACAATATCAGGCAATCCTCAATATATACTACTCAAAAAAATCAGAGGAACGCACTGAAAGCATAATGGCTCTCGCGCGGAGAAAAACATGCTGGAGATCAATACTGATGCAAACTGGGTGATGTGTTGGAAACTAAAGGATTCAATTGTTTGTTGGAAATAAATGATCCAAATACTGGATACTGGCTGAATCCAAATACAAACAGAAAATCAGAGTGAAAAACGCTGCAGCAGGCTTTTCCATTTGGCTCTGATTTCATAGCAGCAGCTGAAAATGAAATAGTTTGTATGGCTGCGTGTGCTGCTGGGCCAAAATTTTAGCTGGTCATTTGTAGATTTTTAGATGAAATTAAAAAAAAAAAAAACACCCAACAAAAGATCATCTAAAGAAGAGCAGAGTTCATTTACACACTTTATTAAGCAGCTACTGTACAACAAGAACAGAATCATGTAAATGGCCAAGCAACAGTAATCCCAGGGTGTAGCACAGCAGGCAAAGAGACGCAGTAGCACAGAGAGTAAAGGATCACATGGAGAACAAATGGAGCGCGCTCACGAGCCCTCACTTCGTACAGAGCCAGAAATTTCTGACCCACAGAGCTCACTAAGACGACGATAACTCTAGTTTTTCCCACACAGATTACATATAACATCACACTGAATGAAATTACATGTAGTAGATTACATGAACTATATAAGATGAGGATTCGCATATTAAGCATATTCAGAACTATTTCCTTCCATTATTTTCTTGGGTTAACAGTTTTTGTTACTTTGCTGCTATTGCTTAAATTTTATTCATATAGCACCAAGTCACAACCGCCACCTTATGGCACTTTATAGTGTAAGGTAAAGCCTCAGTAATAAAGCCTCAGACAACTCCCTACGAGCAACGACTTGGAGACATTAAGAAAGAAGAACTCTCTCTTTGTACAGTCGAAAACTGAGACGGAACCAGGTTCAGTGACGGGCCGCCATCCACCACGACTGGTTGGAATGAGGGGAGGAGGGCAGGATAAAACCTGCAGCCTGAGAGCAAAGTGCTCCATCTATCTGATATGATACTGTGAGGCCTCTCACATAAGATGGGGCTGTTTTATTATGGCCCTTTTTATGTGAGAAGCATTTTGAATTCAGCTCTGGATTTAACAAGAAGCCAATGATGTGAAGCCAGTATGAGGGGAATTTTCCCTCTTAAAATGTCTCATTAGGAACATTTTTAACAGTTGCTTCTTGTCTCTGCTGTGACAAAAAAAAAGGTTGAATCAAAATGTTTTAAATAAGTCACACACTGGTTATAACTTAATGCTGAAAATGTCATGTTACATGATTTACTATTTTCTGAAGCTTATTTACAATTTACAATGCTTAACACCATTCCCATCCCTCCCGTCAAAAGATAAAAATCTGTTTTTCATGCAGTTTCACACACTAAAGACATTTCATTCTTTTTGGTTTCTTGTTGTCAATCAGCAGATGCAAGTCTGGAAGACGTTTTAGAAGAATATAAGACCAGTCTTAGGAGGAGGTTTGAAAGTTTGACTGAAGAAACTGATAATACAGGAAGTGGAACCCTCCCGAACAAGATCTACACTGAGCTCTACATCACAGAGGCACAGAATGAAGACGTTCATGACCAACATGAGGTGATGCAGCTGGAGACAGCTTCCAAGATGGACGCCCTCCATGACACTCCAATCAGGTGCCAGGACATCTTTAAAGCCTTACCTGACCAACAGAGACCCATCAGAGTGGTTCTGACCAACGGCGTGGCTGGTGTTGGAAAAACCTTCTCAGTGCAGAAGTTCACTCTGGACTGGGCAGAGGGCTTGGAGAACCAACATGTCAGTGTGGTGGTTCTGCTTTCATTCAGGGAGCTGAACCTGATCAGAGATGAGCAGTACAGTCTTCTGGAGCTGCTCCATGTTTTCCATCCAACATTACAGAAGGTCACAGCAGAGAAGCTGGCTGTCTCTCAGCTTTTGTTCATCTTTGACGGCCTGGATGAAAGCAGACTTTCATTGGATTTCACCAACAGGAAGCTGCTGTCTGATGTCACACAGAAGTCATCAGTCAGCCAGCTGCTGACAAACCTCATCCAGGGGAATCTGCTTCCCTCGGCTCTCGTCTGGATAACTTCCCGACCTGCAGCAGCCAATCAGATCCCTCCTACATGTGTTGACAGGCTAACAGAAGTACGAGGCTTCACTGACGCCCAGAAGGAGGAGTACTTCAGGAGGAGATTCAGTGATGAAGAGCTGTCCAGCAGAATCATCTCCCACATGAAGACATCCAGGAGCCTCCACATCATGTGTAGAATCCCAGTCTTCTGCTGGATCACTGCTACAGTTCTGGAGCACATGTTGACTACAGAGCAGAGAGGAGAGCTGCCCAAGACCCTGACTGACATGTACTCACACTTCTTGTTGGTTCAGATGAAGAAGGGGAACAAACATGTGGGGGGACATGAAACAAGTGAGATGGCTGAAAGGAAATTTCTTCTGAAACTGGGGAGGCTGGCATTTAAACATCTGGAAAAAGGAAACACCTTCTTCTACCAAGAAGACCTAGATCAGTGTGGTCTGGATGCTACAGAGGCCTTGTTGCACACAGAAGTTTATACGGAGATCTTTAAAAGAGAGCAAGGTATCTTACAGAAACCAGTCTACTGCTTTATTCATCAGAGTATTCAGGAGTTTCTGGCTGCAGTCTACATTTTCTACTGTTGCAACAACAGGAATACAGAAAGAACAGGAAGACTGGATGATTGCAACTCATCTCTAGATGTCTTTCTAAGTGGATTAATGAAAAAGTTACTCCAAAGTAAAAATACCCACCTGGACAAGTTTGTTCGCTTCCTTCATGGCCTCACTCTGGAGTCCAACCAGAGACTCTTAGGAGATCTGCTTGGTCAGACAGAGAACGGTCCAGAAATTATTCAGAGAGTCATCAATAATCTGAAAGAGATAAACCTATTTGGACAGCCTCCTGCCAGAAGCATCAACATCTTCCACTGTCTGATGGAGATGAAGGACTTCTCAATATTTCAGCAAATCCACAAGAAGCAACTTTCTTTGATGAACTGTTCAGATCTGACCTACATGTTGCAGATGTCCGATAATGTTCTAGAAGAGTTAGACTTGAAGAAATATAACACAACAGAGATTGGTCGGCAGAGTCTGATTCCAGCTGTGAGGAACTGCAAAAATGCTCGGTGAGTACGGATTTGATTAAAAAAAAATTATAAATCTTTGTAGATTAATAGTTTAATTTTTCAGACATTCTCAGTATAATGTAATATAATGTTTGGGATCACAAGCATCAACCCTTCCATGGCGCCTCAACCCCTCATCTTAATGGGCCACATGATGGAGTGAGGCGAGGTCTAACAATGCTTTCACCCAAAACCTCTGATGATAATGACCCACACTTTTTTCACACCTTGGCTCATGTGGTGAGCCACATGGTCAATAGTGGGTCAGTAACCCTCTTAAGTAGGGGTGTCAAACTTCATTCCTCGAGGGCAGGTGTCCTGAAACTTTTAAATGTGTCTCTGCTGCAACACACCTGAATAAAATGAATAGGTCATTAGCAAGACTCTATAGAACTTGACTGCATGCTGAAGTGGCACTTCAGCCATTTGATTCATGTTACAGCAGCTCAGCAGAGTGAATGAACATGGTGCAATAAAAGTACTTTTGGAGGTACAAAACGTACTTTACTTACTTTTATGTAAATTTAATTGAGTAGGGTTAGGGGTTGCTGTCTATACTACACAGTAACCTGAACTGTCTATCAAAGTAACCAATCACATAATTGAAAAATGCCCACAATGCTTTGCTTTGACTTTTTTTCAGTTGCAAACTAAATATTATTTGTCCCACAGAGTCAATGTGATCCATAGCATCATCTTTCATTAAATGTTTTGTAATATGCATGTCCTTATAGACTTGCTGCCTGCGGACTGTCTAAGATGCACTGTGAAATTGTGGCCTCAGCTCTGAAGTCCAGTCCTTCACATCTAATAGAGTTGGACCTGAGCGAAAACAACTTGCGTGATTCAGACGTGAAGCAGCTATTTTCTTCACTGGAAAGTCCAAACTGTAGACTGGAGACTCTGAGGTCAGTTTGCTAACAGTTTCTGCTCCTTAACATATTCAACAAGATAAAATGATCGACTTGTGTCCTGACTCAGAAGTAACCCAAGAAAGGGAATATATTTCTTTGTGCTGTGTAACTTTGTAAGACATCTACTTGGTTTGTGTTCAGAAGGATGATTGTAATATAGATAAAATAAGAGTCAGAATCTTATATTTCTAGTCCAGTGTTTGATCTGATGGTGTTCGGGGAATGATAGACTCCAGTGAGACATGTCTACATGCGATGTTATTAATTACTTTTTTCTACATCGTTTATTCACTATTCAGATTGAGTCGCTGTAATCTGACAGATGTAAGCTGCGATGCTCTCAGCTCAGCTCTAACATCCTACCCTTCTCGTCTGAAACATCTGGACCTAAGTAGAAATAAACTGCAGGATTCAGGAGTAAGCCATCTGTGTAGTTTTCTGAAGAACCCACAATGTAAACTGGAGACTCTAAGGTCAGTAGGTTACTGCTTTCACCAAATACATTTACGTCAGAGCAATGATCCTGTAAACCTGCAGCCTTTTCAGCTCCACCATTCCTTAGTGAAACTGTTTGGGGGAGAATGGTGACAGTCAAAAAGCCAAGTCACATGTTGTACAGCGCATTTATAAACAACAGCGCGCACACAAAAAAACAAAAATGAAAGATAAATCAGAGATGGGGTTTAAAAGAAACCCCAATGTAAGAAAACTTGAGCAAACTACATGGTTTTTCAAACAGGTTCTCATCAGTGGGGTGAAATAAAAAATAAATTCTCAATAAAAAGAGAGTGATTGCTTAGACACTGTTAATGACAAAACCATCAAAACCGATGAAGACAGTCTCTGTTTTATGTGCTGAATTGCTGCATCAATTAAATATTTTTATGCTTTATCCTTAACAAAGTGCGTCAGAAATCTTTCTTATTTTATTCATTCATTCAGAATTTCAACTCAATTTAAATTAAAAACCAAAAAATTGGTTTCAGCCTGATGATTAAAGTGTCTAATGCTGGAGAGATTCTGATATGAAGAGGCAGTTTGTTCCACTGTTTAGGAGTAACTGCTATAAAGGCCCAAGCTCCCCTATGTCTGGACCTCCAGACAACTGAGGCAAAATAAAGGCATGGATAATCCCTACAAATGACATCAGCTTTGCAGTTAGCCAAAGTTTAAAGAAATTAATTTCAACAGTATTTTTATTGAGCCCAAAGGGAGCATAAAAATTGCCAAAAGAGCTGGGCCAAAAATAGACCCCTAGGGTAAGCCCAAATGACAGGTCCCCTAAAACCTATTTAATGTAAAACTTCTGTGGGTTAAACAGGTTTAAAACCATTGTCAAAAATTAAGGAATTAAGGATTAAAGTGTCTCAACCTAGAGTTATGGATAGCATGATCTATAGTATCAAGGACAACACAGCAGGCTATGTACTAAAATGGCAGAATCTCCTGAGTATATAATGGTTACTGAAAGTTAGAGCAAGGGATCAGAAAACCAGTAACATCTGTCAGAAGGATGTTGGGCTCATGCTTACAGGAAATGAAGCTGGATTACATCTGACAGCCTCGCAAGATGTATATAGACATCAGTTGTTGAACTGCTGGAGTAAATCTAATTTCACATCATTTGTTTTCTCATGGAACTTTTACTTTTGTCAGAAAACAACTGATCTGTTTCATCAGTGAACACTAGCTTTTATTTTAGAGAACTAATATCTGATTGCATAATCCTATTGATTATTCAATATCTGATTTGATGTTTCATTCTCAATTCAGATTGGATGACTGTGGTTTGTCAGAGATAAGCTGTGCTTCTCTGGTCGCAGCTATTAAGTCAAACCCTTCCCATCTGAAACATCTGGACCTGAGTTTCATCAACATGAAGGATTCAGGAATGAAGAAGCTGTGTGATTTTCTGGAGAGTCCAGGTTGCAGACTGGAGACTCTAAGGTTAGACATGATGCTTTTGTTGTATGCTAAGATGAATATGATATGAACAATTATTGTGGCTGATATCACTGTCATGAATTTTGGGGCTCATGAATCACCAATCAATTGATCCCTGTCAGTTAATGACTTTTTGCACTGTGGAAAGCTGACATTTACAAGTGCTAGTAAATTGCTGGGATAAAACCATAGCAAATTATGTGGTGAGCATGGTTGTGAATTTTGTCAAAGGTGTAAATTAGATTAAATATTGCAGCACTTCACTCAGTTCTGCATTGTTGGAAAACGGTGGGGGAAAATGACTTGCTATTGTTTGATAGGGTTGTCAGTGGGAGAAACGTTTCGTCAAAGCTGGGAAGGCTCCTAAGTAGAGCTCCAGGTGATCAAGGAGAGAAGGAAAACTGCTGTCTAAGCGAAAACCCGTAGTGGTCCTTTATGTGTCAAAAGTATCGGAAACTCTGAGACACATCTTCACTAAACATCGCGTCTCTCTAGCTTTTAAACTCCAAAGCACACTGCACCAAAAATTGGATGAGGATGTCCACATCCTGGATGAGGAGGAATCCTGGTTTGAGCACGGAGTCAAGGAGGCCATTTACATGAAAAAGGAAAGACCACCTCTGAAGGAGGGGGCCTAAGGGTACATCTGTCACCATCTTACAGTGCTGTGATTGCAGCCATTCCCCAACTCTCTGTGAATGGAACTCATGGCCAATGAACAGTGGTCTTGGATTAGTGGTTGTTGATCAATAGTCTATCCCTCGGTGGTTGTTGAGCAATTTGCATATTAATGATCAAGGAACTGACCTCACAGCCCATTGGTCTTTCAGTGGTGCTGGTGTCAGTCATTGTGCAAATGTCCTGTTTATAAGGTTGGAAACCTGCAGTCAGCTGAGACTGAAGAAGTCACTTGGATGAGTGACGAAACGTTTCTCCCACACAAAAAAAACGCTAAGTCCAGATGTGCAGAATCAACTTTTTGGCATCTACTTACCTGGATGAAAGATCATGCATCAATATATCAGTGAGTAAATTTATAGACAAAACATGTCACATCACCAAACATGTTGATTCAGAGTCAAACTTTTTCTGAATAACAAGCAGTTTTAAACCATCAAAGAGACCTTTTCTTTTCATCAGATGTCCACTGTGTTGCTCCCAGCAACTGTGAACCATAGGACACTGGTAGAACACATTGAACCTCATGTTGAGTCTGGCAATGACAAAAAAGGGGAAGGGTCATCCCAACAGTTTACATCCACCAATTTACGTAAAAAATAAAGCCCGGTCTACCAGCAACAGCAGTGATGTGATTTAATTTCATTTTATTGTGTTTTGTTTTGTTTTGTTCTGTTTTGTTTTATTTTTACTTTCTATGCCAAAGTTTTTAACAGTTTATAGACAGCCTGAGGGAGAATAAGGAAGGAAGGAACCACACAATTTTACCATTATTACATTAGAGACAGCAAAAAGTAGTCAAATATCACTCTTTTGTTACATTATACTCACGAAGAACGTTTGGCCAATATTTCCTCATTTTTATATAGAGAGTAAAAAGAATAGCCAAGGCTGGACTTGAATCCAGTGCACTTTAGCAAGGACTCAGTAGCCCTCAGTATATTCATAAGTCATACTTATCTAAATCAATTAGCCTCTGACTCAGGACTTCTTAGCATTAGCAGCATGGTATTTTTTTTCAAATCCCAAGGTTAAAACATACTAAAAAGTTATTTACATACTCTGTCTATGCTATTAAAGGCATTCAGAGGCAATGCCAATCTGTGAAAATAAAATCAAAGTTGATTAGAAAATGTATCTGTTTATGTTCATAACAGAACAAAGGGTGTTTGCAGCGGTTTCTGCTGACACTGGTAGTAAAGCAGTACAACAGTCAAGATGTTTGTGTATGTCTGTTAAAAATTGTTGTGGGAATCCAAACCTAGATGTGACACCCATCTCAGTTGTGGTTATGACTTTACTAAACATCATCAGTACTCCAAAAGAATAGAATGCAGAAGTAAGGGAAGCATGGAGCGGTTAGTGCTAAGCTAAGGGTTACCCCCTCTCAAGCAGGCGTTCCCTACCATCTTGTTGGTGAACATTTACTCTGTAGATGTTTACATTTACACTATGGAGAACTATCCACTGAGCAGTGAGGGGCTGCTGCAGCTATGTGCGCACAGAGCTGACTGACAACATACTAGTCTTGAGTTGAGCTGACCACTTCACAAAATGGACAGAGTAGCTATGAACCCTCTGCAGCAATTCTAAAACACTGACTCATTCACCCAGCATTGTTTTCTAAACCTGCATTTTTATTTTTTATTTTTTTTTGGTCTTTTTACAGTTTGAGGGGCCACTATTTGTCATCAATCAGCTGCGCTTCTCTGGGCTCAGCTCTGAGGTCCAACCCCTCCAACCTGAAACATCTGGACCTGAGCTTCAACTACAACCCAGAGGGTGCACTAGTGAAGGAGCTATGCGGTTTTCTGGAGAATCAAAAGTGTAAATTGGAGACTCTCAGGTAAAACCAAATATCATTTATTGCAGAACATGTCCACTGTTAGTTTTTAAAGTAAATTTGTTTGTCCATTCTAATTAAAATGCATGTACAAAAGATCCACTGAACTCAGGTTTGTTTCAACTGATAGCTGATCAAGTAGTGTGTCTGTCAAGGTTACTTCAGCCTGACTGCATAAATAATGTCTGATGATCATCTTATCATACTGATCCAGAACACATTAAAGAAAATTTTCAGATTTAGGACCTTAAAGCATTTTTATGGTATAGACCCAATATATGTTTGAATGTTGTACTGACAATTTGATGTTTTTGGAAGAATGTCCTTCTCTTAAATGGACCATCATGTCAAAGTGGCCTTCCTGTTTAAAGTGAAAAACTAATCAATCAGGATAAATTAAACTTGAGGTATTTATTTAAAACCAGCACATCTGGTGGGTTTATAAGTTTACTTTCATGTTATTCTTTTTTTCCAGATTGATTCGCTGCAATTTGTCAAACGAAACCTTAACGGCTCTGGCCTCTGCTCTGAAATCCAACCCTTCCCATCTGAGAGACTTGCAGTTAAGAGGAAATGACCTATGTGATTCAGAATTCCACAAGTTGTGTGGTTTTCTGGAGAGTCCACAGTGTAAACTGGAGAGTCTGGGGTTAGTTCATGGACTGTCTTTCAGAAGGCTTTACAACTTTTAATTTGTTTCAATAAAGAAGGCGTGGATAGTGTGATGGATATCAGCTGTGCCACCCAGCCTTCCTTGGCACTGTTCCCTAAACCCGCTGCTTCACCCCTCCCCTGCAGCTGAGCCACAAACCACACCCTGCCACATACCCCCATTTTCCCAGTTTGGGCCGGGGGGCCATTCGGCCTTGGATGAGGTCAGTCAAGGAGCAGGTCGGCTCCCAAACGTTTGGCACAAACTGGTGGTAGAGCTAACACATAGAGAGAGACAACCCTTCACACTCACACCTATGGGCAATTTAGAATCACTAACCTAACCCCACTAACTGCATGTCTTTAGATCACCGGTCCCCAACCTTTTTCGCGTCAAGGACCGGCCTTTAAGGTGTCGCGGATAAATAAGACAAAGTAAAATGATATGACTATAAAAAAAAAAGCATGCACGGCAGACCCAGTTGTGTTCTGTACGTTTTTATTATTATATGCACAACACCAACGGCACCCAGGACTCGTGGACCGGTACCAGTCTATGGCGCGTGGGTTGGGGATCATTGCTTTAGACCAGGGTCTCGAACTCCAGTCCTCGAGGACGTTGTCCTGCACCTTTTCCAGTGTCCCTTTTGCAACACATCTGAATACAATGAGTAGGTCATTAGCAAGACACTATAGCTGACTGCATGCTGAAGTGGCAATCCCTAACCCCACTCAAGTAAATTTAAATAAATGTGAGTGTCTGGAAAAATGTACTTTTAAAAGTACTTTTATTGCACCATGTTCATTCACTCTGCTGAGCTGCTGTCACATGAATCAAATGGCTGAATTGCCACCTCAGCATGCAGTCAAGTTCTATAGAGCCCTGCTAATGACCTACTCATTGTATTCAGGTGTGTTGCAACAGGGACACATGGAAAAGTTGCAGGACACTGGCCATTGAGGACTGGAGTTTGAGACCCCTGATTTAGACTGTAGGAGAAGATGGAGTACCCAGAGAGACTCCACACAAACACGAGGTGAACATGTGAACTCCATACAGAGAGACTCTAGCTGTGTCCCAAAACGTAGGCTGCATCCTTCGGAGGCCGCATTTGAAGGCCGGTTACGTCACAGCCAGGCGACG